CCTCAAGGACACAGCCCGGCGGCAAGGCCGGCAGTCCTGCTCAATATCTTTTCGTCTGGCTACCATGGTTGTATCCTATCAACGTCATTGCCAGTTTTCGTGCAATCGCAGATAATGCAGTGTGTCGCGAGGCATTCGCCTCAAGGACACTGCCCGGCGGCAAGGCAGGCAGTCCTGCACAGTCTCACTCTTTGTGGTTACCATGGCTTGTCTCCTATTCGTCGATGGCCAGAGTCAGGGCCAGCTTTCGTGCGTCCACAGATTATGAACGCACGTCGCGAGGCATTCGCCTTAAGGACACAGCCCGGCGTCAAGGCCGGCAGTCCTGCACATTTGCACTCTGCTGCCATGGTTCCTCCTATCAGACGTCGACCAGTTTCAGTTTCAGCTTACGTGCATCCACAGTTTATCTAAGCATGTCGCGAGGCATTCGCCTCAAGGACACAGCCCGGCGGCAACGCCGGCAGTCCTGCATAACCCCATGTTGTCCGGCTTGCATGGCTGACTCCTACCAACGTCATTGCCAGTTTTCGTGCAATCGCAGATAATGCAAGTATGTCGCGAGGCAGTGGCCTCAAGGACACATCCCGGCGGCAAGGCCGGAAGTCCTGCACAGTCTCACGCTTTGCGGCTACCATGGGTTGTCTTCTAGTCGACGATGGCCAATGTCAAGGCCAGCTTTCGTGCGTCTACAGATTATGAACGCACGTCGCGAGGCATTCGCCTCAAGGACACAGCCTGGCGGCAAGGCCGGCAGTCCTGCACAATCGCACTCTGCTACCATGGTTATCTCCTATCAGAGGTTGGCCAGCTTCATTTGCAGCTTTCGTGCATCCACAGTGTAACTTTGCAAGCATGTCGCGAGGCATTTGCCTCAAGGACACAGTCTGGCGGCAAGGCCGACAGTCCTGCATAATATCATTCTGTCCGGCTAACATTGCTTATCTCCTGTTAGACGCTGGCCAGCGTCCGGGCCAGCTTTCGTGCATTCACAGATTACGCTCACGCCACGGGCTGGCAAGGGGATCCCCTAGACGCCAGGCCCACGGCGAGAACACCCCTCGTGCTGCGCGGGCCTCGCGGCCCGCTCTTGCACGCGCCATTCTTGCCTTCACCTCCAAACTTCTCCTCTCTCCTCCTTCCTCCCCTCATCGCCCTTGGAGGATGCGGAAGATTCTCACACGTTTCGTGCGTCCAGCGCGCTGAGGCGCGTCAGTCGCGAGCGGGAGAAAGCAGACGTATCCTGCCGGGATACACTGTGGCTGGCGACTCTGTGGCGCATTCCCTCCCACCGCGGTCCGATGCACCAGAGCGGTGCCCAATGAAGATAACCGCGCCCAGGAGTGAGGGGACGAGGGTGTTGGCAGTGCTCAAACGCATCGCTTGGTATTGCAGCAGCAGTGGTTAGATAAACCAGTGGTGCAAGCTATCGTGTCCGCCGCCGACTTGCCAAGATAATCATTTATCTCAAGCTGCATTGCAGCAGCAGTGTTTAGGAAATCCAGTGGTGCAGGCATAGCGTCCGAAGCTGCATTGGCACGGAGAAGGAAGCGGCACCGCATGCTCACGTCGGAGGGTCGGGCCTCCAGGACACAGCCCGGCGACAATGCCGGCGGTCCTGCACAATTGTCTTCATGGGGCATGCTCACTAAGCCCTGTTAGTCTTACAAGGGTGACTTGGGTCCGCTGGCCTCATCCTTGTCCTCGGGAATACCCCGCGACACCGTTAGGATCCGCGGGCGGTCCTAACCAAGTAGCGTTCGCACGGGGTCTGCCCAGCGAGCTCCGGAAGCGCCTTTCCGGTGCACGTTGGCCCCAAAACGGGCCCGCCGACAGGCCCAAAAATTCCTTGTTACAGGTGGGTTGGTTTCACACTCACCTCCAGCGTGTGCTGATACGCTCCGATTGCTCTGGCGCACAAGCCGAGTAAGGACGAGCCACGGTCTTCACAACGGAGGTTGCCGATGAAAGGTATGCTACCTCTCATACCGTGTGCCTACCACGGTCCTTGTACCTGGGGGCACGGTAACAAGGGTGGGTGTGCCCCGGAGCCCCATCCGTCCTCACAGGGTTATGCCTACCCTCAAGGGCATCAGCAATACACTACAGTCCCCCTCCTCCTCCTCCTCCTCCTCCTCCTCCTTCTCCTCCTCCTCCTCCTCCTCCTCCTCCTCCTCCTCGGGCGTGGCCGTCCTCCTCCTCCTCCTCCTCCTCCTCCTCCTCCTCCTCGGGCGTGGCCGTCCTCCTCCTCCTCCTCCTCCTCCTCCTCCTCCTCCTCCGGCACATCCCCTCCTTCCACGTCCGCTCCCCCCCCCGCGCTCCCCCTCGCTCCGGCCCGCCGCCGCGCCCCGCTCGCGCTCCCCCCTTTGCTCGGCGCGCGCGCGCGCGCGGAGAGCCCAACCCGTGATCCCCCGCCGGCGCATGCCACGGAGCGGTCCTCGGCCTGCTCGGCCTCCCCCTCCTCCGGGGGCGCGCCGTGGCCGTCCTCCCCCTCCTGGGCCTCGGGGGCGGCGGCTCGCGGGGCGGAGCTGGGAGGGAGAGAGCGGGGGGCGGGGGGGTCAGGGAGCGAGGAGAGGAAGGCAGCGATGGGGGAGGGGAAGGGGGGGAGGGGAGGCAGCGAGGAAGCCTCGAGAGGGGAGGAGGTAGGTAGGTAGGTAGGTAGGTAGGTAGGTAGGTAGGTAGGTAGGTAGGTAGGTAGGTAGGTAGGTAGGTAGGTAGGTAGGTAGGTAGGTAGGTAGGAGGAGGAGGAGGAGGAGGAGGAGGAGGAGATGGGTAGGCATGCTGTACAGTCGCAATTCTCGCTCGGAGTTTGTTCTTGCCCAGGTGCTTCGTTGGCGCAGGAGGTGGCCAGCAGGTGCAGGGATCTGGCCAGCAGGTACAGATGCTATGAGGCGCTCGGTGTATAAGATGAAGCAGGTTTCTGGGGAGGTCAACCTGCCATACAACGATGGTTTGATCGAGCCTACACGTCTTTACGTTTCGGTGGTGTTGCACGGGCTTCCTGCTGGCAACCTGGGGCAGCTGAGTGGGACCTACGAGGGATCGCCTCGGGGTTCCTCGGGCGAGGCTGAAAAGTCGGACAGGCTAATATCACGGATGATCGGGTGCTTATGGGATGCGATATGACGCCGATCGAATGCCTTCTCTCCTTTCGTCGGCTTCAGTATCTGCCGCGCTTGTTGGCGCGGGCGCCCTAGCAGTTGAGGGCACTGCTCGAAGCTTAGTGCTTCGTGGAAACTGAAGGGCACCTGGCCAGCCCAGCCGAGGAAGGATCTGTGCTGGTTGAGGAGGTTATTGCTTGGCAAAAGTTGGGGTAACCTTGGGTTTGTTAAGGACAGTGTGTGTTGTGGCAAGAAGTAGCCCGATGTTTTCCGTGCCTGTGCGAGTGCCGCTTGGAACAGCGCGCGTGCCAACGAGCGTGACCAATGCCGGCTGAGGGAGTGGAGGAGGGACTTGTCCAAGGAGGAGGTTGACGGAGGCTCCCCCCCCTCCACCCTTGTGTGCTATCAGTGTGAGTTCCTCGCGCAAGACAAGGCGGGGTAGAAGATCCACATGTCTAAGTACCATCCTGAATGTGATGATATAGATCAGCACGTTGCGAGGTCCACGTGTATCACCTGAGTGGGAATCTCATTCGAGGCTTCGATATTGCAAACATCTTAATGTGAGCATCATCCGTAGTGCCAGCCAGCGTCTAAGCGTAGCGGAGGTGGCTGCCTTGCGTGTCCAAGACTTACCAGAGAATGCCAAACTCAAGGCAAAAAAAATGGATCAAGAAAACAACACCTTGCCTGCCTTCCGTGCTCGCATGCTCACCGAACGCCCTGCTGACCAGGTGGACCCAGTGTGTGGATCGCCGGAGGTTATGCTGGAGCAGGAGTCTTTCTTTGGTGGAGAGGCCCCGGAGATAAGCTGCTACAAGCACTTCATAGTGTTGCGTGTGTTCTAGGGAAAGAGGAGGAAAGGAGACATGCAAGACTAGCTGAAAATCTTGATGGTCCAGGCTCCGAGGCACAATCCGGTCTGGTTGCTGAGTATTGACGTTGCCAACGGCAGGATCCCTGTGGGTCTACGGTGAGGCACTGGCTGGAACTGGGGAGGTCCGGGGCCATCGTGGCTGCGTTCGAGGGTTCCCCGTCCAAGACCTCCGACGTCACGACTTTTCCATGACGTCCACGCCCAAATGTCTGGACCCATTCCCCATGTCCAACTCTTCATCCCGGGTCGTTTCTTTGACGGTCCTGGCGCCTGGCAGGGGCTCCCAGAGGCCGAAAGTGGCGAACACCCTCCCGCAGCGATTTCTTCGTGACTCGAGGGGGTCCAGGGTGTGCGAAGGGGAGCGCGGCGCGTCGTCAAGCGTTGGAGAGAGGGTGGGGTCCTGGCTCTGTTCGCTCCCCTAGCGTGGGGGAAACGGGTCCTCTGAGAAACGGGTCCTTGACCCCAGGGTCTTCCCTTAGGTCGGGCGGGTCCCCCTACAGGCGGATTTTGGACGAAAGACGAAAAACTGTTAAATTACCCCAGTGCGACCCTACCTAGAAATTAGAGCCCCTAGGAAAGCAGCACTAGTTGCTATGCTATGCTATGCCATGCCATGCCATGCAATGCTGCGCTATGCTATGCTATGCTATGCTATGCTATGCTACGCTATGCTGCGCTATGCTATGCTATACTGTGCTATGCTAAGCTATGCTATGTCATACTGGGCAGTGCTAAGCTGCGCTATGCTATGCTATGATATGCTATGCTAAGCTGCGCTATGCTATGCTGTGCTATGCTATGCCATGATATGATATGCCATACTATGTTGCGTTATGCTATGTTATGCTATGCTATGCTATGCTTGGCTATGTTACACTATGCTATGCTATGCTAATGCAGCGCAGCGCAGCGCTAAGCTAAGCTAACCCTCTAGACAGAGCCTACGTAGGCAGGGAATTACACCCATGCTAATGCTGCGCTATGTTATGCAACGCTATGCTATGCTATGCCGTGCTCTGCTATGCTAAAGCTCAGCGAAGCTCAGATGAAGGTAAGCTAAGCTAAGATCAACCTGAGCCAAGATGAAGCTAAGCTAAGCTAAGATGAAATAAGCTAAGCTATGTTGAGATAAGCAACGCTGAGGGGACGTAACTGGGGGAACCGCGGGGCGGATACTGGGGGAACCGCCCGGGGCGCTTTCCACTGCCCGGCCCCTTTCAACCCAGAGAGTAAGAACCCTTCTAGGCAGAGCCTAGGTAGGGAATGAACATCGCGTTTGGTACAGACTGAAGCGAAGTACAACTCTCAGGGACTATGCTATGCTATGCTATGCTATGCTGCGCTATGCTATGCTATGCTGGGCTATGCTATGAGATGCTGTGCTGCGCTATGCTATGCTACGCTATGCTGTGCTATGGTGTGCTCTGCGATGCTAAAGCTCAGCGAAGCTCAGATGAAGGTAAGCTAAGCTAAGATCAGCCTGAGCCAAGATGAAGCTAAGCTAAGCTAAGATGAAATAAGCTAAACTATGTTGAGATAAGCAACGCTAAGGGGACGTAACTGGGGGAACAGCGGGGCGGATACTGGGGGAACCGCCGGGGCGGTGTGCACTGCCCGGCCCCTTTAAGAAAGAGAGTAAGAACCCCTCTAGGCAGAGCCTAGGTAGGAACAACAACTCCAACATGGCTTAAACAAAAACTCGAAAAACCGTCCCAAGACTATTTTTTACAATTTTTGAATACTCCTCCTGTAGAGGGACAAGCCCGACGTCAGTCTTCCCACAGGTCGACCCGAAAAAGATGACAAAAACTCAAGACACGTTTTCCCATAGGACCCGCTGCCCCCACGGCGCCTGTTCGCCCCCGTGGCTCCTCGAGGGGCCTGCCTCATGCTGATCCCATCGCACGTACAGACCACAACCCAAACATAATTTCGAGCATCCTGAAAAGTGTTGAAACAGTGTCGAGCGAGTGTCTCCCAGGGCCCGACACTTTCTTGGTGCTCGACATTCTTTCTGGTCCTGCAGGCTAAAGCAGGTTGGAACATCATAAGGCCTCGGAACGCGAGCAGGCTGATCTTGGTAGCGGGCTCTCTCACGCATCATGCTCCAATTTCTTGCGGCTGAGGGCGCCGAACTTCGCGCTGCGCGCTGCGCGAATAACGTCGCACTCTCGCGCCGCCCCCAAGGGGAGAAGAGGAGGAGGAGGAGGAGGAGGAGGAGGGGGAGGAGGAGGAGGAGGAGGAGGGGAAGGAGGAGGGGGAGGGGGAGGAGGAGGAGGAGGAGCCGATCCGCGAAGCGCTGGTAGCTTCGCGCCCTCGGGGGCGCCCTGGGCCGCGTGCCGCGTCGGGCGGCGTGCCCGCGGGCGGCGGCGGAGGCACCCCGCGGAGCCGCCGCGGGGCCGCGGGGCGCTCCGCGGCCTCGGCAGGCCGAGGAGGCGAGGCCCGTGGGGGATCCCCCGTCGGCGGAAGAACGGTTTTTTGAAGGCAGATTTGCCTTCAAAGAGGAAAGACTGGTCTACTCTGTAAGAACGGTCTTTTGAAGGCAGATCTGCCTTCAAAGAGGAAAGACTGGTCTACTCCGTAAGAACGGTTTTCTGAAGGCAGATCTGCCTTCAAAGAGGAAAGACTGGTCTACTCTGTAAGAACGGTTTTTTGAAGGCAGATCTGCCTTCAAAAAACCGTTCTTACAGAGTAGACCATTTTTTGAAGGAAGATCTGCCTTCAAACAACCGTTCTTACAGGGTCGCCCTTGCGTAAAGTCGGGCCTGACTCTCTACAGGGGGGGTTTTCGACGAGAAATAAAACATACCCCCAAACTAGTCAAAGAAGAGTCCAAACAAATAGTCTCGGGGCAACTTGGGGGGTATTTTTGGACCTTCTTGGGGTATGTTTGGGGTATTTTGCATTCTTCGTCGAAAATCCCCCCGTAGGGGGACACGCCCGACATGATCCTTGCGCAGCGCAGCCCTGGCTGTGCGCATCAGCAGCCGACCACCTTCCTCACTGGTCTGGGCGCACCCTCTCCCGATCACCACTGCGCAGCGAAGCCCTGCTGTGCGATTGCCAGAGATCTTCGTCTCTTTCGGTATCGGTCTCTGTCTCTCTGTCTCTCTCTCTCTCTCTCTCTGCGACCTCTGGCGATGAAGCCCTCTGTCTAGTTCTCTCTTTATGTCTCTCTTTCTCTCTCTTTCTCTCTCTCTCTCTCTCTCTCTCTTTCTGCCTCGACGAAGCAATCTCTCTATCTCTCGATGAAGCCCTCTCTGTCTATATCTCTCTCTCTCTCTCTTTCTCATCTCTCGATCACCATGGTGCAGCGCCCTGGCTGCGCGCCCTCGCTGGGGGCCAAGGTGGGGGCGATGCCCGGGGGCGGGTCCGGGTCCTTCACGCAAGCACTGTGGGGCCCAGGGGTGGCCCCCGGGGCTTTCGGGCGAGGGGGGTACCCAAACTGCCGCCCAGCAGAATCCGACACGCTTGTGCGCCTTGTGTGCAGATTTCTGGCGGAACTCCTGCGGTGTAGCTTGT